GCCTACACGAGATGAGGCAGGATAAAGAGGGATAATCCCCCTCGATCCCAAATCATTGAGGCCAATTTCTAGCCATAGAATAATGGCGCGGTAGCCTTAATAAAGGCAGGTAGATCTTGCTCGTTGCAATGCACTTCACTTCACAATAAACACGTCCGCTCAGTTCGACCGCTAGCTCGAGAATGAAAAAAACAGAGACTTTTTATATGAACTCGGGTCTATGGTTGGTACTCTGTGGTATATGTATAGAAGTATGTGATGTTAGCTACAATGCTACTATTTTTGACAAATCGAAAGGCCCTCATAGTAACTGTCAAATCGATGGGTAATGTAAAACAAAAAAGTAACCAAGAAACCAAGTATTTGGCGGGACTGAGGTTAGCGGCTTTATTCGTCTATAAACTAAAACAGAAAAGGAATTTATAATTGATTATTACAAAACAATTAATTGTAGCATAAACAATATCACGATGGGAGATAAAGGCGATGCAGGTAAGTAACTCTAATCAAGATTGTGTACCAGAGTTGACTTAAAAGTCTTAAGTAGACAAAAATTTAGTTGAACACAGTCCTGTTTCAATAACTTTTTTTCGGTTGTTTTATTAAAGTAATTTTTTTAATTTTGATTCCAAGCAGAAACTTTTGATGATGCTGTTGAGGAAAGAGTTATAAATGAAGAATATAAAATATGGAAAAAGAATACTCCTTTTCTATATGATTTAGTGATGACACACGCTTTAGAGTGGCCATCATTAACAGCACAGTGGTTGCCAGATGTTACAAGACCAGATGGCAAAGATCATTCTATCCACCGATTAATTCTCGGTACACATACATCTGACGAACAAAATCATCTTTTAATTGCTAGTGTTCAATTGCCAAATGAAGATGCTCAATTTGATGCATCTCATTATGATAATGAAAAAGGAGAATTTGGAGGCTTTGGATCTGTATCTGGAAAAATAGAAATTGAAATAAAAATTAATCATGAAGGGGAAGTAAATCGAGCCAGATATATGCCCCAAAATCCATGTGTTATTGCTACAAAAACTCCTTCCAGTGATGTGTTAGGTAAGTATAGTTTTGCATATTAAAAACAATTTAAATGACGTAAAACTTCCAGTTATTGAAAATATGTCAAACGGGAAATGCAGAATATTTAACCGCATTTGCAATTTAAATTGACTATGTACAGGGTGATTCAGGTTTAATCTGGATAACTTCAGAAATTGATAGAACAGGTTAAAGTAATGTTCATGATATAAACTTATTTCCTAAATCGCATCATTTCGGAGATAGAGGGTGTTAAAATAGGAATTTTTTCCCATTTTTCCCTTATAACTTTTGAACCACTCATCCAATTGAAGTGAAATTACATAAGCTTCTTAAGTTTGAACCACTTACCCCTCCTAGAAGTATATTTTGTGTGCTACCCCCCTTCTACATTATTTCAAAACTTCAAAAAAATTAATTTCAATAAAACAACTGCATACCACTTTTGCTTCATTAATTTCAACTATTTCGTCTTGCTTTTTTTTCCTTTATATAATAGATTTCAGAGATCAATTCATCCTTACAAGCTATTATTACTAAAATACTCATCCACAGTATATGGTTCCAGATCTATTAATAAATTAAAAATTTTCTTTTTGAAAATCATATATCTGTAATTATTCTTATATCAGCAGGTAATTTATTATACATTTTAATACAATTATAAAAGGCATCTTTTTCTGTAACTGTCAATCTGTGTATCGGATAGGAATAATCCTCAGTTCTGGTTTGGTTATGTTGTGAAGACATTTTTGTGAACAAATGCCTGTTTTTTTAAAAGAATAATAATATTTCTTGTATGTAAACAGCTGTGAAAGTTAAAATTTTATTTCCCTTGAATTTTTCCCTGCACGATTCTCTACTCTTCATTTTTAGGATTATTCGTAACACGCGCTTTTGAATAATAAATTTCCTTTTGGCGTCTGAACTACTGCCATAAAAAATTATACCATGTCGAAACACAGATTCAAAGTTAGCACGGTAAATTATTTTCAGTGCATCTCGCTTTATGTATTGGGCTATAATCCTCATTGAATAAATTACATTATTAAGTCGCATAACATGTTGCACATGGTCTTTAAAATTTAGCACAGTGTCTATACAGGGTGTTCCTAAATATCATGTACATAAGGGAGGGGGTAATTCTTTGGCTTATTTTATGACTAAAAGTTCATATAAACATAGGTCCGCAAAAGCTTCGTTACCGATCTACAGGGTGTTGAAATTTAAAATTTTTTTTTAGTTATATTTGGCTCAAATTTGGAATATAGGTTACGCTGTAGAGCTTACATCATTGGGCATGTCAAATGGTCGTGATATTCTACAAAGTGATATTTTTTCAGGGTTCATGCCCCCTTTTCTTCCCCTGAACTTTTGTGCGGTGCGCCGCTGGTAGATTATAAAGTCAAAATTGAATTTTATGTTTTGTTGAGAAACTTTTTTGCTTCTTATGATTTTTTCGTATCTACGACCGTTATCGAGAAAAAAAATATAAAAAACGATTTTATGTAATTCGTTAGATGAAATTTAAATTCTTAAAATTTTCCAGTAGGCTCTGGCTTTATTTAGATAATTTCTTGTTTCTATTATTTTTGACAGTTCGCATTTGAAATCGTAACTTGGGTCTGCTTATGTTTAAAAATTAAAGGTTTATGTTAGGTATAAACTGTAAGGTGTAAAAGTATTTTAAATACCCATTATAATCTCACAACAATGCCAAATTTTATGAATTTTGAAATGGGTGATCCCAGCGTTAATTTTTAACAGGTAGTGGCGAATAAACTGGGAACACACTGTATAAATACCAAGAAACTTAGTACTATGAGTTGAATTAATTGGTGACATTGTAAAATTAATATTTTGTATTGTTTCATATTGAGCATGTGTGGTTTTAAATAGTAATACTATTTAACCTGTTTTGTCCTTATTTAAGATCTGTTTATTTTTAGTGAACCATTCACACTGGGCTTGAAGGAGCGATAGGTTTAATGAAAATGACAAAGAAAACGGAAAGCGGCATTCGATTCCTTGTTGATTTCCAATGAAAAATCCGTTTCAATTAAAATCCTACCTGATCCTGTTTCGAAAATATGTATATTTTTTATTTTTTGGATAGTCTATCCAGAGTATTAATACTGAAGTATGCATATGTGGCGAGAAATTACTATACTAGTACATAATCAATTTTGTGTGCGTGTGTATGTGTGCGAGCATGCATATGAGCATTTCTGTCCGTGAATATAAGATATTATTTCTACACCATCTATGAGATAAATATCACGGTGCGCTTTTTTTAAAGTGGTGTCCCCTGTAGGCCTAGTCCATTGTAGCTGTTCAGTTTCTAAATATTATATCTATTTGTATATGAAAAAATTATCTCATTTATTTGAAATAACTATTTATAAGTGGTGTGAAGTAAATGTAACCACTGCTTTAAATAATCTAGTCAAAAAAGATGGATCATCAATTGAGTTTATTTTAAATCTTTCCCAATATTTTAAAAATTCTTGGTGAACAGATTCACTGGCCTGCTCTGACCATAGTCCCAAACCATCATTGTTCAAGTACAGAAGACTATTTTGATGATATGGATGATGAATGATCCAAAAGATTTTTAAAGTTTGAGAAACTCCTGTACCTACTCTCAAAAGCTTTGCGAAGTTTTTTCAAATTTTCAACTATTTCGTTTATATCAGCCTTTTTTATAGAAAAACAAGTCTCTACAATCTTATTCATTGCCTTAAAAGTGGCAATGAAAGGCTGCAATTTGAATGAACCAACTTCTTCATAAATTTCAGGGTCGTTCAATCCACTTGAATTTTTTAAGAGTTTTCTGCAAGTGTTACCATCAACAATTTCACTATCATAATTTTTTGCTAATAATGTTAGCTTTTTCGGCCAAATTAAGGCTGTTTCACGACCTACAACAGGAAGTATGCCATTCCAAAATAAATGATTGACTAATCATTGCAGTAAATGGAGTTCAGGAAGAACACACTTCTCAATAACGTACTTTCATTGCCACTTTTAAGGCAATGAATAAGATTGTAGAGATTTGTTTTCCTACAAAAAAAGCTGATATAAACAAAATAGATGAAAATTTGAAAAAATTTCACAAAGCTTTTCAGAATACAGGAGTTTCTCAAACTTTAAAAATCCACGTTCTTTTGGATCATTTGAAAGATAGCCTTCTGTACTTGAACAATGATGGTCAAATATTGGGAAAGATTTAAAATAAACTCAATTGATTGTTTGACTAAATTATTTAAAGCAGTGGTTACATTTTCTTCACACCATTTATAAATAGTTATTTCAAATAAATGAGATAATTTTTTCATATACAAATAGATATAATATTTAGAAACTGAACATCTATAGTGGACTAGGCCTATAGGGGACACCACTTTTAAAAAAGCGCGCCGTGATATTTATCTCATAGATGGTGTGGAAATAATATCTTATATTCATGGACAAAAATGCACATATGCACGCTCGCACGCATACACACGCACACAAAATTGATTATGCACTAGTATAATAATTTTTTCGCCACATGTGCATACTTCAGTATTAATACCCTGGATAGACTATATAAAAAGTAAAAAATATACATATTTTCGAAACAGGATCAGGTAGGATTTTAATTGAAACGGATTTTTCATTGGAAATCAACAAGGAATCGAATGCTGCTTTCCGTTTTCTTTGTCATTTTCATGCTACCTATCGTTCCTTTAAGCCCAGTGTGCATTTATTTGTTTCAGATAATATATTATCTGCATCTTCCAATAGTTGAGTAAAGCTCACCCTGCTCATAATTATATTAGTATCATCTGCATAATTCACAATATCACACTTTCTATTTATGTTTATTACTTCATTTAAGTTATTTATATATATATATATATATTATAAACAAAAGAGGGCCAATAGTACTTCCCTGCGGTACACCCAATGTCGTTTCAACATCAGATTTGTCCATCTTTACATTGGGTCACTGTCTGCTTTCGACTAGATAGGTACGATTTTATCCAATCTAGAGCGGAATCACGAATGCCAATGTTTATAAAAATGCCTCTCTTTTTTCTAGTGAACCCACTATTATTTAATTAAGTGAAATATTGCTGTTTGAGTAGATTTACCTTTTTTGACATCCATTTTGATTTTTAATAAACAAATTTTCTTCAGTCATATATTTAACAATTCTGACATTCATAACTAATTCAAAAAGTTTTGAAAAACTGGGTAACAACCTAATTGGTGGAAAATTTTCAAATTTTATGTGATCACCTTTTTTGTGTAAAGGTCTAATTGTAGCAATTTTCAATTCGTCAGGAAAGATACAGAATTTTAAAGAATTATGAGGGTGGCCCCAGAAGTACCCGACCTGACCTAGAGATGGCGGTAGTTGTTTGAAAAATATCACTGTATATAAAGTATATGTTTCAAATTTGAAGACGCCATATTGTTTAGTAGTTGTTTGACAGCCATCAATAATTAACGTTTTCAGTGAATTTGTGAAAATGGAGAAAATTGGTCACCGTTATGTGATTTTTATTTGAAAGGCCTCAGCTCAACCAATATAAAAGCTGAACTAGATTATACTCTGGGTGAGTCTGCTCCTTCGTTTAGAACAGTAAAATATTGGGTAGCAGAGTTTAAACGAGGCCATACGGGCTGCCAAGACGAGCATCGCAGTGGTCGACCAAATGAGGTGACGACTCCAGAAATGGTGAAGAAAATCCACAAAGCAGTACTGGATGATTGTCGACTGAAAGTGCACGAGCTAGCAGACATAAGCATTTCAAAAAGTGTGGTACATCGCATATTATCTAAAAATTTGGACATGAGAAAGCTGTGGGTCCATCACAAAAGAACGATCAAAACAATGGACTGAAAAGGGAGACCCGACTCCAAAGAAGGCGAAGACCGTTCCATCTGCAGGCAAGGTCATGGCTTCGGTTTTTTGGGATGCTCGTGGGATAATTTTCATTGACTATCTTGAAAAAGAAAAAACTATC